AAAACAGAAGACTTGATTGAGGTCATCTAACATATTTTAATTCATTTAAACCCTGCTTGCTTCTAGCTGTCTGTTACATTTAAACCCAAACATGGGAGTAGAGGACATATTCATTATACATAAAGAATACTCGTAAGCTATAAATCCCATTCCAATACTGCTTCATGTCCATCAAATCTAGTTCTAATTCTGCTATAGAGGCTGGATGTCAGGGGCCTAACTCATGCATCTATAAGTGTCTAGGATCAATCAGCAGCAGTGGCTTCTACTGGTCCTGGGATTACAAGGTCCCTGCTTATGGCATTCATTTCCTTCTCATGGCAGTTGGCTGCCCAGCCTGCCGGTGTAAACATTGCCTTTTGGCTGTACACAGAAACATAAACCATTCAGTAAAGCATTCTGTTTCCACAGTGATAACCAAATATTTATAGGACGCTCACATACAAGAAATGAGTGCAATATGGCTCTGTCACTTATGCAGGTAGTCCCTGAGTTACAAACATCCAACTCAGAGTTAAGAATGGGGATGAGATAGCAGGAACTGAGAGAAATCTACCCCTATGAAGGGAAATTTACTCCTAAAAGAGTTATCCTGGGGAAAATGTTCTCAACTGAAGCTTTATCACCAATTCTTATTTCCACAACAAGCTACATTTTTCAAAATCCAATTATCACGGGGACGGAAAATGAGGTGAAATCTTCTGAACAGGGGCACAGAGAGCAGAACAAACACCACAGGGGTGTAACTTTCCTCATGCTCTCTGAAACTAAAACCCCTCTTAACCACCTCTTCTGTTGTATGTATTTGTTTGGTGTTACATCATTATAACATTATAGAGAGCTCTATCATTCTACTATATTTTTTAAAAAACAAAAAATTAAATGAAGTGATGACACACAGAGGGACAGTGTGCAGGAGTTGGTAATAACACCATTAAGACTGATCTTTCTTTTTTCCTTCTTTCTTTTTTTCTTCTTCTTCTTTTTCTTTTTCTTTTTTTTTTTTTTGAAGAAAAAAAACAATAGCATGCAAATGATACTGTAAAGTTGACATGTGGCAATGGTGCAATAGAGTCAATGATTAGCTCTCCTCATAAGACTGGAGCCAATTTCAAACAAAAAAAAATGGGATATGGAGGAGTGGTGTGATAACACACCATGGAGGCATCTACACTGTAACTGCCCCAGAATCACAGGAGCTGTATTTTTCCAAGGTCTCTAGCCTTCTCTGCCCAAGAGTGCTGATGTCGTGACATTGAAAGTGGTGTCAAACTGCATTAATTCTACAGTGTAGATTCAGATAGTGTGCTTGGTTTGCATCCTGTTCAAGATCCCAAGTGCTTGTTTCAGCAAACACTTCCACCACATTTACTGGGGTGTTGTGGGATCTTCAAATACATTTACAGTCACAAAAAGATTTGTTGCTGGACACAGTTTCATCAGAGGTGAGAAGAGGGATTGCACTTGACAGATTTGTATATCAATGGTTCCCAGCCACTGTGAACCACCCGTGGTCTGAAAGAACTAAAACATAGTCCATGGCCTCACTGTTACTGCACCGTTGCAACAAGAGCAACTGGTCTCACAAAACCCTCTTATAGCACTGAGGCTTATTAAATATGGTTTTCTGTGGGCGAACAGATGGTGACTACCTCGGGAAGTCTGATCTGGCCACAGTGGTCCACGTTCTTGTCACATCCCGTATAGACTACTGCAACGCACTCTACGTGGGGTTGCCCTTGAAGACTGTTCAGAAACTCCAACTGGTCCAACGAGCGGCAGCTAGACTGCTTACTGGAGCGACATACAGGGAACACACCACCCCCCTGTTATGTCAGCTCCACTGGCTGCCGATTCAGTTCCGAGCACAATTCAAGGTGCTGGTTTTGACCTACAAAACCCTTTACGGTTCCGGTCCAGTGTATCTGTCCGAACGTATCTCCCTCTACGTCCCATCTCGGAATCTGAGATCATCTGGGGAGGCCCTGCTCACGACCCCACCGCTATCACAAGTGAGGCTGGTGGGGACGAGGAGCAGGGCCTTCTCAGTGGTGGCCCCTCATCTGTGGAACTCACTCCCGGGGGAAATCAGGGCTTCAACTTCCCTCCTTGCCTTCAGGAGGAAGGTAAAGACGTGGCTCTGGGACCAGGCCTTTGGGCACCCTGACAATTAGACATGGAACCAGAATGATAGGACCAACAATGTGTGGAAAGTAGAACCTAACTATGAGTCGGTTAAACGCTGACCAGCAATGAGGTTTGTATTGCTTTTATTGTTTTAATTGTTTTTACAGGTTTATGGCTATTCCTGCTGATAATATTGATTGTTTACATTAATTGTTATCAGTGTTATAATTATTGTTGTTATTGATGTTATGTTTTTGATGTTATGTTTTTGTAATACAGGCATCGAATTGTGCCTTGTTTGTGTAAGCCACCCCGAGTCCCCCCGGGTGAGAAGGGCGGGGTATAAGCAACCGTAATAAATAAATAAATAAATACTGGATGGCATATGTTCTGTATCAGAAACTTGAGCTGATGTAGTCTATCCAATGCCATTTTCTGAATCAACACCTCAAATAACCAATCCGAATGTAAACTTGACTAAAAATTTGATTTGTAACCCTTTTGGTACTAATTTGGAAAGTGGTCCCTGGTCAAAATAAGGTTGGGAAACACTGATATATATGAATAAAAAGGTCTTACGCAGTGAAACCAAAAGGCTTATCATGTACAATAAACACCCCCAACATAGCTTTATATTTAATTGACTTCCACTCCCATTTATGTATGTATGTATGTATGTATGTATTTATTTTACGATATTTATAGCCCACCTTTCTCAGCCATACAGTGACTCAAGGTGGGTTACAGATTGGCATAATTTGATGCCAGGCATTCATAAAAGTGCAATTAAAAACAATCAACGTGACAATATAAAAGATATATAAAAACAGTAAAACATAATCAGTGTCATCCTGTTAAAAACATTATACTGTAACATCGTCTGGTCATTCCATATTCATCATTCATAGTTCCATGTTATCTATTCCGCTGCATTCTCAAAAGCTTGCTCAAAGAGCCAGGTCTTTACTTTTTTCCGGAAAGTCAGGAGGGAGGGGCTGATCTAATATCCTTGGGGAGGGAGTTCCATAGTCAGGGGGCCACTACTGAGAAGGCCCTGTCCTTCGTCTCTGCCAATTGCGCTTGCGATGCAGGCAGGATCGAGAGCAGGGCTTCCCCAGACAATCTTAAGGTCCTAGATGGTTTATAGGAGGAGATACGTTCGGATAGGTAAGCTGGGCCAGAATCATTTAGGGCTTTATAGGCTAAAGCCAGCATGTTGAATTGTGTTTGGTAGCAAATTGGCAGCCAGTGGAGCTGACTCAACAGAGGAGTAGTGCGCCTCCTGAGTGCCGCTCCTGTTAGTAACCTGGCTGCCGCCCATTGGACCATTTGGAGCTTCTGAAGAGTCTTCAAAGGCAACCCCACGTTTTCATCCCATTTCATATACAAAATAACAAAAAGTTGCCATATTATATATACAAAATGATAAAAGTTAGAAATAAAACTGGCTTTTAAGGGGGTGTTTCTCTGATATCATCTCTATATGTTGAACTGCGATTCCAGATCACGCACCATCCTAGATGCCATACAAACCCGTTTTTGTTGAAGCTTTCCAGGAAAATCTTGCACTATGCATTGCACCTGATGTGAGAACTGAATTCATAGGACTGACTGCATTCCCTCATTTCTCTCTGAAAATCCTATCCCAGTTATATCCTACCTTGTTCACGTCAGCATTATTTTTAAAATTTTAATCTATTACATTTGGCCCGGCCATTGGTTTTAAATGCTCGTATGTCACTGTTGATTGTTTATTGCTTATTTTTTGTTTATGTGATTTATATGAATTGTATTGTACTGATTGTTTTATTAATGTTTTGTTTACTGATGTGCTGTGGGCTTGGCCTCATGTAAGCTGCACCGAGTCCCTTGGGGAGATGGTAGCGGGGTACAAATAAAGTTTTATTATTATTATTATTATTAGGGCTAAAATTGCGATGAGTAAAAAAAGCACTCTTTCTCTTGTTATGCCAGGCCTTCCTTTAAATATTCCTGGCCATGTTTCCCAATTGAGACCATCGGCCCTCCTGGTGTTTTGGATTTTAACTCCCACCATTCCTCACAGCCCCAGGCCCTTTCCTTTTCCCCCTCAGCCGCGGGAAAAGGAAGGGGGCTGAGGCTGCGAGGAATGGTGGGAGTTGGAGTCCAAAACACCTGGAGGGCCCAACTTTGTCCAGGCCTGTCTAAAACTCACTGGTTTTCCCTATTCATCGTTACTCAGGAAGAAGCCCCATTGTGTTCAGTTATGTAGTTTGGTGAGGCACCAGCACTGTTTGGCAGAGAAAGCTAAAGACCATGTAAAACTAGAACTTCCAGGTTTCCCTAGCATTGAGCCATGGCAGCTGAAGCGGTGTCCACTTGCATCAATTGCGTCCTGACAGCATCCTTTGGCTTCTTGACAAACTGGAATGTGTCCAGAGGAGGGCGACTAAAATGATCAAGGGTCTGGAGAACAAGCCCTATGAGGAGCGGCTTAAGGAGCTGGGCATGTTTAGCCTGGAGAAGGCTGAGAGGAGATATGATAGCCATGTATAAATATATGTGAGAGGAAGTCACAGGGAGGAGGGAGCAAGCTTGTTTTCTGCTTCCATGGAGACTAGGACACGAAACAATGGCTTCAAACTACAAGAAAGGAGATTCATCTGAACATTAGGATGAACTTCCTGACTGTGAGAGCCGTTCAGCAGTGGAACTCTCTGCCCCGGAGTGTGGTGGAGGCTCCTTCTTTGGGGACTTTTAAACAGAGGCTGGATGGCCATCTGTCAGGGGTGCTTTGCATGCACTATTCCTGCTTCTTGGCAGGGGGTTGGACTGGATAGCCCATGAGGTCTCTTCCAACTCTATGATTCTTTTTTTTTTTTTTTTTTTTTCAGCGAGCCGACCTTCCCAAGGTGGCAACCGCTAGCAGTGACGTCACTTGGGATTCAAGATGGAGACTCGGGGCACTTCCTCGCGTTGCCTCTCCCAAGATGGCGGTGGCGCTTTCTCTCTCGCGGGAGGCGTCACTTCCGGTTCCCTTTCCCCTCATCGTCCGCGATGGCGGCTGCGGGGCTGTCAGATTCAAAACTCCGGGCCGAGTTGCTGACCCTCGGGTACAAGCCAGGCCCTATTACAGACACCACCCGCAAGCTCTACGCTAAGAAGCTCACTCGCCTGCGGGCCGAAGTGGCCGCGGGGCTGAGGAGCCGAGGCAGTGCGGGTGGTGGTAGTAGCGGCAGCGCTCGGGCCCAGCCTCAGAGTCCAAGCGGGCCTTCGAGGCCTAAGGCGAGAGTAGGCCCGAAAGCCTCTCCTCGGGCGCGAGCTGTGGTGGAGGAGGAAGAGGAGGAGGAGGAAGACGAGGAGGAGGAGGAGGAAGAGGAGTGGGATTCAGCGAGCCGAGGGCCGCCTCAGAGAAACCATTGGGAGACTGAGCGCGGGAAGACCTTTTTGCCCAGAGAAGAAAGGAGGCTGCCCAGCAGCAGCCCTTGGGACTTGTCCTCCAGGAGGGCCCCCTTCGAGGTCTCCTCCTTAAGGGACGGCGTTGCTGACAGCTTAGCTTCCAGCGCTTTGTGGGGCTCCACGGCCACCGAAGGAGGAAGTGGAGAAGGTGGCTTGAGCTCCACCAAATGGTGGGAAAGGGAGCCCAGCCCCAGGACGCCCCGAGCAGAGGGGACCCGTCCGGGCTACAGCAGCAGCAGCATTAGGCCTTACATAGGGATCGAGAGCCGGGTCACTCCCAGCTCCTCCTACTTAGGTTCACTCACCCGAGAACCAAGGCCCGAGTTAAACTACAGGTCTCCATGGAGGGCAGAGAGGCAAGAAAGGGGAACCCCCCTGACAGGAGCTGGGTTCAAGCAGGGCACGCATTGGGATGGCACGCGCCAACCCATAGGCTACAAACCTCAAGGGAAAGGGAGAAAAGGCATAGGGCTTGAGTTTTATCTCTCCTGGTTCCTGTGGCTGGCAACGTTAGGGCTCTTGGTCACCTTCCTTGGCATCCTTTGGGTGAAGATGGTGGGACCTGGCCAGCTGGAAGGGCCCGAGGAGAATTGTACGTGTATTTCTCTATTTGCTTTATCCCCCCCCCCTTTTTTTTCTTCCAATATAGGGACACAAGGCAGGTAATGGCAAACGTGACACAATTAAAGCAAAGCAAATGCATTAAAATATAAATACAGTCGAATCTAGAGCAGGCATGGGCAAACCTGGGCCCTCTAGGTGTTTTGGACTTCAAATTCTACAATTCCTAACAGCTTACCAGCTGTTAGGAATTGTGGGAGTTGACGTCCAAAACACCTGGAGGGCCCAAGTTTTCCATGCATGCTTTAGACTCTCGGGGTGCATCTACATTGTCAAAGTAATGCAGTTCGACACCACTTTATCTGCCATGATTCAGTGCTGTGGAATCTTAGGAGTTTAGTTTTACAAGATTTTTTAGCCTTCAGTGTATCCCGAAGAGTGCTAGATTCCTTATCATATCCATGAGCCATGAATCCTAGCAGTTACAGCTTTGCAAGCTGTTTAACCTTGGCAGTATAGATGCATTCTCAGTTGGTCAGTATCCATGTGGATTAGTAGATGATGCATAAATGTAGTTTCTGGTTGCTTGAAACTTCCAATAACAAATAGCCCTAATTAGTACAGCACAGAGTGGGGAACAAACACCCTGGGAAAGGGAAACACAGTTCCCTAGAGAGGCAGTCTTTAAAAAGATTAGAAAACCAGGGGGGGGGGGGGAGTTGCTTGTAAAACTATGGGCCCTTCTACATGGTCCTGTATCCCAGAATATCAAAGCAGAAAACCCCACATTCTCTGAGTGTGTACTTGGATATCGCAGTACAAAGCAGATATTGTGGGATTTTCTGCCTTAATATTCTGGAATATAGGGCTGTGTGGAAGGGCCCTACAGCACTTGTGATTCCATAGCATTGAGCCATGGGAGTTAAAAAAAAAGTTTCAAAGTACAATAGAGTCTCACTTATCCAACATAAACGGGCCGGCAGAACTTTGGATAAGTGAAAATGTTGGATAATAAGGAGAGATTAAGGGAAAGCCTATTTAACTTCAAATTAGGTTATGATTTTACAAAACATAATGTTTTACAACAAAGCAACAAAAAAGCAGCTCAATACATGGTAACATTACGTAGTAATTACTGTAGTTACGAATTTAGCACCAAAACATTGCAGTGTATTGAAACAGCTGTTGATCTGGGCAGGAGGCAGACTGCGTTGGATAATACAAAATGTTGAATGAGTGAAGGTTGGACAAGCAGGACTGTACTGTACATTAATTCTGCAGTGTTGCTGCACCCTTAGATGCCTTTTGCTTGACTGACTGCTTAGAAAGTAGGTATTGATATAGACTTCTGTAAGAACATTTGAGTTGTTCTGCTCTCTTATACTGTGAAATTGTCTAGTTCCTGAAAGGCACATTGAAAATAGAAAGTGGGGCATGGAAGTTCCTATTAATACTTAATTGATGTTTATTCCATGGTCTTGAACAGTGTATCCAAAGTCATAAGAGTGATTCAGCAACAAGGAGTTATTCAACCTTGGACACACCCAGTCTTTTTGTTCTTGCAAAGCATTTAGACAAACAAGTTGCTAAACATAAGTGGTTGCAAAGTGTGTCCCATTTTGAAAAGAGACCAGTATGTATTTCATGGCACCCTTGTGTCGCAATGTTTGTCTTAAAGACAAACAATGCAGAGACTCTTGTTCATATAGGCCCTTTTGTCTATGTAACTTTATTTATTTATTTATTTATTTATTTATTTATTTATTTGTATACCGCCCTTCTCAGCCCGCAGGCGACTCAAGGCGGTTTACAGAGGCAACAATTCAATGGCCAACAACACCATAAAAACATTTAAAACATTTAAAAACATTAACATATAATATAAAACCATAACAAGATCAATAAGACATAAATCATTTGCGCCTCCTAGTTAAAACATTGTCCAATCTCAGTAGTATCCCTATACTGTACTTCGTTGTTGTTTATTCATTCAGTTGCGTCTGACTCTTCATGACCTCATGGATCAGCTGACTCCCCCTGTCACCTGTGGCCTCCCCCAGCTCCTTCAAAGTCAAACCAGTTACTTCAAGGATACCATCCATCTACAGTACCTTGCCCTTTGTCTGCCCCTCTTCCTTTTTCCTTCCATTTTCCCCAGCATAATTGTCTTCTCCAAGCTTTCCTATCTTCTCATTATGTGACCAAAGTACTTCATATTTGCCTCTAATATCTATGTTAGCAAAACTGAGTCAAGATTTGTCTTCGTTATGTTTTCCATATAATGCTACATGAGCTTAAGTTGCATTTTTTGTCAATAACTATTTTAAAAATCTCAGGTAGCTCACGAAGTTAACAAATTCTTACTTTAATTCACATTTGTTTTTACTCTTATTTGATATCTATTTTCATTTTCTTTTGATGAAACAATATCTAAAACTAGATGTCAATTAAGGCTTAGATCCTGTGCACACAGTACTCTGAAGTAAGTTCCATTGAACAAAATGAGACATTCTCAATCTTTTCATCTTTAAGATGCTACAAGGCTCTTTATTTTTAAAATGTAGTGTTTATTTTTCAGGCCTTGTCAGGAAATGTATAATTTCAAGTAACTAATTCTCAATTGTTTTTTCATTCACAGTTAAGATGTTATCTGTGGACTGTGCACAGAGAACAGATAGTGTAAGTGTGGATATTTATGGGGGGTTACATTTAATTCTTAAACAGAAAATGTAATGACTAGGTGTACAAGTCAGTTATTAGCAGTGTTATTATGGAACTGGGCCTCTCCAAGAGAAATTTAATGATTTATTGATGTGCAATTAGTAAACTGTTTCTTATCAATTTAGTATGCAGAATAATTATTCAAACTGTGTAAAACTAATCTGATGCAAGTCTAAAATCCTGCTTTTACAGAATTTTTTTTAGTCAATTGTAACAAAAGCCAGATTGATTTATGACAAGGATTTCATCTGCATTTCTATTTTCCAATAACAAGCTTAAATAAAGCTAGCAGCTTTAATCTTTCTTGGTGTGTGCATGTAGTTGTAACTTGTTCCATAATATGTAGCCAAAGAAGAAAATCCTTGGTGTAGTGTGTATAAGTTACAAGGATAACTCTGGGTTCTCAGGATGCTTGATGCATCTAGTTTGAAATTGCTACATGTATCTCATACATAGATATAGAAATGGCAGTAATGGCACTTTTGATTCCACTGTTGATTTTTTTGGTGAACGGGGTGTCATGTAAGAGACCTATAATTTGTTGAATACACTGCCCTCCTAACCATATAGCAGGGGCTCTCTTCTATACTGCAAGGCTGAACTCTTTTAGATTGAGGCTACATTCCCTCAGAACATGTTATGATCTCAGAGCAGATCACAAGCTAACAAATCAGTGGGGCTAAATCCAGTAATAGATTAAACTGGGTCCCCAAAAGGCAGACTTATCATCTTTATTCTCCCACTCTTATCCTGGGAATTGAGGAAATAATTGCTGTTAGAAGCCTGAACTGATCACTAAATCAAAACTGTTGAAAATTGACTGAGATCCTGAAGTGATCAAACTAATAGAGTTTCTGTCCACTAGTGCCATATAATCTGGGATCAGTTTTGTCATGGTGCTTTTAAGGGCGGGGAGGGGGGACTGAGAGGGAGAAGAGCAGATGAGAAGATCTTCTATTTAACTTCATTGCAATTTCTTTAAACACTCTTAATTTTTGAATTCATGATCTATTCGCTGATGTTTTCTTTAAATTTTTCAGTATTGTCAGGCAAAACATGAAGAAATAATAATGACAATACTGCATGAGTTATACAACTACCTTGCGGGTAAAGCTGGTGAGTTCTGATTTTTCTTCATATATATCATAGTGATGCAATAAAATGGAATGTGTACTATCTCAACCT